TCTGGCCTGGTGAAATACTGCAGGTCCCAAGTCTGCTAGGTTTCTCTTGCATCTGGGAGAGGGACTTCTTTTTATCCAGAAGGTTCTTCCTCAATCTCTTAGAGCACATGTGTCAAACACAAGGCCCGCGGGCCAAATCCGTCCCGCCATGCCTTGCAATGTGGCCCGCACCGCGCTGTCATCACTGCACTCCGCTGCGTTTCCATCACAATGACAGTTTATGACTGTTCAGTAAACCATTCGGCCCGCGATTTAGGCTGGATTTTAGATTTTGGCCCCTTCTCTGATTGAGTTCGACACCCCTATCTTAGAGGGTTAAGCACACTTCTCCATAGATGTCAGTCCCCCCAGGAAGTCTCCCTCAACCACTGGGAAGGCTGGATCCCGCCTGCCAAAATAGGCCTGCACAGAATGAAGGCTCTGCAAATAAATGTTAATGGGGTAAACACAAGCATGTGTCCCTCCCCCAGGTGGCTCTCGGGGACCCTAAGGCTGAGCACAAAATGGAACATCCTCTCCTCTCGGCATCTCGGAGGGGGTCCTGGCTGGGCTGCGACAGTTTGGATGGCCCTTTGCCTGTGAGCTTGCAGAATGTGCCCAAGGACCGAGAAAAGGCTTGCGTTAGGGTTTTCAAACCAATGTAGCTAATTAAAAAATAACTCGAACTGAAAACAAGTTCGGAAACAATTAGGATAATTAAAATATCACTACAGTACCTTAATTGAGACCAAGCAGTGAGCTTAAAGAATAAAATTAATTTTAAATTACATGTAACCTATAATTAATTGGCTTTTGAATTCCGTGTTTCCTGCTCAACAAATCTCTCTAAATTAATTCGTGTTGTTGTGGGTTTTTTTTTCTCTCTGAGAAAAGCTTTTGTAAAAAATATTTAAAAATTAATTGGACATGTATCATGTGTCGGTTGACACTAGTTCTTGGGCAGGAAAGATGACATTGACCTCCTGTGGGTATCTGCTCTGTGCTCGGCTCCGTGTCCTGTTTAAGTCCACGTAAGTCCTGCAGGTTATTGAGACAGAAGAGGCATGGGGGATGGGGTCAGCTTTGCTGAGTTACGGGGACTGCTGCATCCCAACATGAGGCATGTGCTCCGTGAGCAGAGGTTGGCGCACAGTCTCCGGAAATCATTAGCAGCTGTCCAAGGAGCTGGTCAGGGTTATCCCTGACACTCAGCTGGTCTCGCCCCTTCCCTCTGCACCTGCCCCAGTTCCCGGCACCTTATTAGAGCCTCTTCCACTCGCTATTCTGGTGCCTAATCGTTCCCTTTAGAAGTGGAGCCGCATGGCTCTGTCTGAGACCTGTGCTGGGTGCTTCTCATAAGTGTCACCTTTCAGGAGTGTCACCTGAGCCTGGGGGCTGCTGGGAAAGCGTACTGAGGCCGCATTTAAATGGAACCGACACACTCCTTTCACCATCCACCTCCCCTTTAAATCCCAGGGGTGCTGTTTTTCAAAACAAGACGGATCCCAGTGATTAAATAAACTCTGACAGCTTGATCTGTTACTGTTCTGTGAAGTTCATTTAAATAATTCACATACGTGTTTGAAGTATTCAGTCCCCGATAATTAATTTTAGCCTACTTGATTTTTATATGCAAATTGTTAAGGAAGTATGCATAGAGAGTTAAATAACTGATGATTTTTACTTAGTATTTTTGGTTGCAGTTTTTTGTTTGTTTTAGTAGTGCTAGCGTCTAGCATGGGGCAAGAGGGAGGTGACCTATAGTGCTAGCAGCCTAATGCTAGGATGACAGATGGCAAGGTTGCAGAAAGAAAATGGAACAGCCCACCATTCAGTTGACTCATGTGGGTGGTGGCTGCATTCAGAGGGGGTATGTAGAGGGCGCACTTGCCCAGAGCTGGCACCCCACCTTCTGGGGTGGTGTGTGAGCAGCCCAGCCGTGGCAGCACCAGGCCCCTGGCTGCCCCTGCTTTTTTACCCCTAATGCTCATTCTGCTGGAAGACCTTTCAGGAACATGGTGCATCTGGCTTTATATTTGTTGTGAGGTGAGGGCCACGGCAGCTTTTAAAAGGAGATCCTAGCTCTGATTGGTGTGGCTCAGTTGGTGTGGTGTGCACAGAAAGGTTGCTGGTTCGATTCCTGGTCAGCCCATGCCCAAGTTGCAAATTTGATCCCCGGTTGGGGTGTATGTGGGAGGTAATCAACCAATGTTTCTCTTTCAGGTCTCTTTCTCTCTTCCTCCCTCCCTCCATCACTTTCTCTTCTTTCCTTTCTTTAAAAATCAATGAAAACATTATTATTTTTTTTAAATGGAGATCCCAGGTGATCCTCTGCTGTTGGCTTGTGGTGGTAAGAGTTTGGGTCCTGGGGTCCCCCACCAGGTGTCAAATGCCCTCTGCTCCTCTCACCTTTATTTGTAAAATGGGGATATTAGCAGCAGCTACCTTCTTGGGTGTTGTGAGAATGAAATATGGTAATCCAATTAGAGGGCTTAGTTCACTGCCTGCATGTCAAAAGCACTGGGCAAGTGTTAACTATTGTTCTTGTTGTTATGGAGGCTTATTATTCACTCTGAGAACAAAAGACAGACACACTAAATTAACAAACATCTAAGATGTCTGTGCAAAGCACTTACATGTACAAGGTCTTTTCTAAGTACTTACAAATATTAACTCATTCAATCCTCGTGAGAACCAAAAGCAAAGGTAAGTGCAGTTATTACCCCATTTCACAGGAGAGACACCGAAGAAGGGAAAGGTTGGTAAGCAGCAGAGCCAGCATTCAAACTCAGAAACACGGGGCTGAGGGTCTGTGTTCTTCCCCGTGATGTCAGCTGACGAACACGCCTCAGGAATGTACTGTCCAGTGAGGCCCTGCAGGCCGCTGTGTGGACATGGCATGCTTGTGAAGTTGGCATGTTTGTGAAGAGGCTCCAATTGGGCCATAAAGCTTGTCACGTAGTACTGCAGGTTGTGGCACCGTCCTTCTAGACCAGCCTGTTAGTTCCATCTCTGAGCTATCTCCAGTGAAAACCCCCGAGTTAGCTGGCACCTGCCTGGGGAGCCTCGGCTGGCACCTGTGGCCTGGCTGTCAGTGGTCTGGCCCCAAGTTTCTTGAGATCCGTAAGTGTACTTCATCCTGAGGTGGTTTGCAGTGTCAGAAGGGGCAGCTAAGGGCCAGTGTGCTCCTCACTAATTGTCACGTGGTCATCAGTCTTCATTGTGGGTTCAAGCTTGGATGCGTCTTGGAAAGTAATCAAAGTTGGTTGGCCTGCCACCTGGATTGGTGGGTGGGAAGCAGGGCGGCCTGAGACACACCAGCATCCGGGCTTCCTGTATGGAAGTCCCCAGGACCAAGAGGGATCCACCCAGAGGACCGTGGGGCAGACCCAGAGTGCAGGCGGCAGCCCTCAGCGCAGGAGCTCAGAGCGAGTGCTCTTTCTAGGGGGCTCCAGGCGGCCTCTCTCTTCCCTGGCAGCTCATCTCCTCCTGCTGAGCTCCAGCGGGTTCCTTGGGAAGCAAGCTCTGCCAGGTGGCTCCCCTGGGACCAACCAGGACGCAGCCTTGTTGCAGACCTGACTGGCCTAACAACGCACCTGGCTTCTGTTTCCAGCGCCAAGGCTGCTGCGCAGAGGGCGCACCCTGAGCGGTGCAAGCGGCAGAAGTGCCTTTGGATGTTTGTGTTCAGGTCCCTGCAGACACTCCCAGCAGCCGTCTGAGGAAAATGGTGCTGAGGTTCTATTATAGGCCTGGGCCGGCTGAGGAACAGTGACTGGCTGTGTGCAGGGAGATGGTGAGGGTGAGGGACCCGAGGTGGAGGAAGGATGGCATTTCTCGCGGCAGTGTTGCTATCCCTGCTCTGGAGGCTGATTTGTTTAACCAGTTGTTTGGTGGAGAGGACATGGGGAGGCTCACCTCCCTGGCCCAGGAGGGCAGTCGTGAGAGAGCTACAGCCTCACGGGCCTCAGACCCTGGAGCCGGGAGTCGGCACAGCTGTTTTTGCTTTGCAGAGACTCCCCTGCAGTCACTTCTCTGCCTTGATGAGGAGCCACCGGAGCAGGTGGGGGTTGCTGAGGAGCTGGGGCCTGCTGCTCTGCCTGTTCTAGGAAGTGTGGCATTGTAGGAACTGCTGTCCTCGGAGACCCTTTCTCCAGTGGCTTGGTTGATTCAACTCTCTTCGCTGTCATTATTCCCATGCACAAAGCTCACTTACCAGTCAGATGGAGTATCTTATGATTGCCCAGACATGCTTCCCTTCTTTGGAGGATGTGGCCACCCGGCCTCGGGTGTCTTTTCTCTCTCTGCTTTTCAAAATCCTGCCCATCCTTCAAAATCCAATTCTCATATTAATGCTTCATTAATCCTTGCCCCAGAAATTGATCTCTGTTTTTCTCTCCGGCTCTGTTATCGCTTTACATGCCCGTCATGGCCCTTATCTAATTCTCCCTGCACAATAAATATTTATGGGGAAGCTTTCTCCCTCCCGATTGTACTGTAACTGCATGCGGCACGGAACTGTCTTGTGCTTCTGGAAGTTCTTCACAAAACTTGAAATAGGCTTATGTATGCATAGCGTCCATTGGATTGAACTGAAGGCCCTGAAGACACAAGAACAAAAAACTCTGTCCTCAAGGACTTTGTCTGTTGTGGGAAATAAGTAGAATTAGGCATGGATGAAGTCATAAAAAGCAATGGCAGACAAATAACCAAAGAGGGAAAATAGCTCTGGGTCCTTGGAGCATGTAGGATTTAGAGGATTTTAAAAGTAATTTCTGCCAACGACGAAGATGCGGCGGGTCCCCATGGCACAATGGAATCACTTTCCTGATGTGAAGAAAACATGTGCGGCAGACACAGAATTCCCCCGTGTCGGTTCCATTCCAATCTCCTCCAGCCTAAGAAAACAGCGCAGAGTGCACACGCATGGTGTGTTTGCATCCTACTCGTCTGTTTGAGTAGAAATAGAAATTAGACGTTCCCTGAAGGTCCTAACCGCCCGCTTCTGTTCCTTTTTGCCTCAGCCCTGGACGCGTCCAAGGACCCCTGCCTGAAGGTGAAGTGCAGCCCTCACAAGGTGTGTGTGACCCAGGACTACCAGACGGCCCTGTGTGTCAGCCGCAAGCACCTGCTTCCCAGGTAAGGCAGGAGGCCGGGGTGCTCTCCGCCTGGAGGGTCTGGGGGTGCGCCATCGCTGGCTGGGGGGCAGGAGGCAGAGGCAGAGCGGGTGTTTGTGCTGTGGTTTGATGTGGTATTTGGTACCTGGACTCCTGCTGTGGTTCTCAGACACAGATTTGCAAAGAATGTCAATATCTTTATTTCCTTTACATCCACTTTACTTGACTCTGAGCCCTTATCTGAGCAGAGGAACAGAAAACCCTTTCCCTCCTCCTAGAGTGACCCCAGGGCCCAGGAAGCTTGTAGCTAAGAAAACACTGGCGGGACCTTTAGTCTCCTGGATGCCACTGACATGACCACCAGGGACTGTCTGTGTCATGATCATATAGAATGTGGCATTTTTGTCTGGCCGGGTGCCCAGCATACCATTCCTTCTGAGAATGTATCTTGCTCTTCCCACAGGGGGCAGCGTCTGATAGTCTCTCTTCCCTAGCCCAGGGGACATCTCTGGGTCCTCAAAAGCCTTTGCCTTCCCACACCCACTCCCAGCATTATCCAGCCAAAGGCTTTTACAAATGACAGAAAGAGCCTTTGATTTCAGGCTACTTCTGCCTTCAGTCCTACAGAGTACTCACAACAAGAAAGCAGAGACATAGACCCAAAAAGCAGGCTTTTTTAGGAGTGGGGTTGGACATGTGGTGGGGGGAGACAGGTGATTTCAGTGCCTATGCCGCCCCTCTCTTCACACTGCCTGGACAGCAGAGAGGTGTGCAGCGGCCCAGGAGTTATGACTCCCGGTTCTAGGTTCAGCAATTTGTGAGGAAGATGTTTTAATTTCCCTCAACCCTCTCCTTGGTTTCCTCTGACCCTGCCTGAGGAGCTCTGTCCTCGGAAACAAGGTCCAGCAGGAGTGACACAAGAGCAGAGCCTCCCCATCATGGGCCTCTACAAACGTGGCGCCCGCAGCAGCGGGCTCAGCTGATGTCTATCCAACAGTAGTCGGCCTTTGTGTCTGTCGGACCTGGACGCTTTGCTGTTCCCTCAGGGAGGAGTGCTCCTCCTGGAAGTAAGGAGGTCTCACCCCAAAGCCCAAACATGTGCCAGCATTGAGCTCAGCACCACCATCCTTGAATTCTCCCAGGCAGTTTGCCAAGTGGGTGTTTATGTTTGTCTTCACTCTAAAAAATGAGAGAACTGAGGCAGAGAGAGGCATTGGCGATTTGCTTGTATACCTAGTGAGCAGCAGCCATAATTCAAACTGGGGCTGTCGAGCGCCACAGCTTGTTTATTATCACTTACTTTGTTGTTGGCCTCTCCATGGACCTGTCCTTGTTTACCCTCATTCATTGTCCTCCTACTCCATGCCTATTGTGTGCCAGGTTCGCGTTAGGCCCCTAGGCCAGAGAGGTCAATAAGAGACCCAGTTTCCACTCTCAATGAAAATCAATTTTGCTGTGGAATGGGATATAAAAAATAATTTTTTATTAGAAATTCCTTTTAAGACATACATACTCTGAGAAAATTATCCTAGAGTCTCCTGCCACACTTCTTTCTCTGAAGGAGGGATGATATGTCCCCTTTTGCTACAAATACCAAACACACTTTGGGCCAGTGCTCTGGGTTGTTGAGCCACCTGGCTGTGTGTGTGTGTGTGTGTGTACACATGTGTGTATGTGTGTGTGTATGTCTACATGTGTGTCTATATGTATATGTGTGTTTGTATGTGTATGTGTGCATGTGTGTGTATGTGTGGGGTGTGGAGAGCCCATTACCTGTTTCATCCTGGAATACAGCCCTTTCTGGAAGTTCCAGATAAGAGATTTTTAGTTTTGAGCTAAAATCTCTTTGAGACAGAGGCAGGAGTCTCATTGGCATTCAGGTATATCCAGGTGTAAATAGTGGTTTTCTGGGCACACCACGTGTCTGTGTTGGAAGCACCAGCACATTCTTGCTGTGTTGAAAGTGTAGTCCTCATCTCCCGCATCTCCTGGTGACCACAGACTTGCCCTGGCTAAAGCATGGATTTGGGGATGAGACCAATCTGGGCTCCATTCCAAGGTTGGCTGCTTCCTAGCCATGTGACCTTAATTACTTTACCTTTCTGAATCTGTACTTCCTCATCTGTGAAATGGGTTTAATGAAAGTATTTACTCCACCCCTCTTTTCTATTTGCTGGAATACATCCTCTAGTAAGTCTTGCAGAGAGGATTTATGGGCAGTAAATTTTACTAATCCTTGCATAGGGTATTTTGTGTGTATGTTTGTGTGAGAGTTCAATAAGGTAAAGATATACATAAAGTACATAAACTAGTGTCACATAATGATAATTATCTTCCAATTACTAAAACAGTTATGATTGATAGTTATTATTATCTGATTCATTCTGGAAGGTCAGCCAGAAAACTCCAAAGTTGCATGCTCACTTCAGGTGCCTTGCCCCTTCCCAGTCTGATTGGAAACCTGGAGATTTAGCTTGAGGATCCCAGTGTCCTTTCTGCTGCCCCTTTTGTGACTCACAGGAGGTAAGGACTAAGAAGATGACTCCATTTCTGATAACATTGCCTATTTGTCCATTGGAAAAACAGCCCAAAGAAGAGGCCGATTGAGGAGGCATGCCACTCCATTCATAGCATTTGGGAGGTGGCCTGAACCCGGAGGCCCTGCAATGGTGTTGGCTGTGGCTGTGAGTCTAGCTTCCCTCCTCTCCCCCTCAGAGCCTGAATGACTCTGCCCGCCATGTCAGCCAAATGCATACCTCTTCTTAGGGTCTTGGACACCTTCCCAGATGAAACATCTGTCTTTCCACATTATACTTCAGGGGTCCCCTCTGACCATAGAGACCATGTTGACAACTCTATCTATTCATCAATCAGGGAAGTAATCTTTCTCTCTGAGAAACATCTGTAGGCAATTCCACCAGCCAATCTGGCCTCTGCAGCAGCTCAAGAGGCAAATTCTGCCGCCAGACAGGCAGGAGTGCACACACACACAGAGAGGCGGCTGGACCAGCCGTGGGCTAATTATGAGGCTGCAGACTTTGCAAGCAGATTGAGATAAAAGGATGGTGAGCACATCAGGGAGAGAATTTCATTAGCTTTCCTAGCTGCTGGAGCTGGAGTGAGTGAAGCTAGCGGTTTGGTACACAGGTCTGTGACTACAGAACTCAGGGCAAGCAATTTGGGGGTGGTGCAAGCCAGGCAACCAGCCCTCCCACTTTCCCTCCCTCCCTCCGCTGTGGTTCTCTTTCTTTATCAGGGTTGTGTTTGGTTTTGTCTGGTTTCTCCTAGCGGCTTCAGCTAAACTCACATTCTCTTTGGAGACTTTTCTTTGGAAATTCTTTATTACATCTCTTCCTGCCATTAAGCTTGGGAAAGAGGGGTTCCTGGCAGTGTGCTTACCTTTCTAGTTCTCCAAAAGGGGCCGATCATGCACTAAAGAGCATTGTGAAGTCGGCTTGGAATCGGGAAACCTTCTCTTCAATGTTGTTTTTACAATATTGCAATTTTTTTTATAATTATAGATGATGCTTATTACAGAAAACATAGAAAAGTAAAAAGAAACAATAAATAAACCATGGTCATATAGTCTTAAAATAGGAATCAAGAAATTTCAACATATTTCCTTTCATTCATAGTTTTTGCCCAGTGGTTTGTTTCTGTCAAAGCTTGATTATCAGAGGGTGCCTATATAAAAATTCATATTGTTATTATTTAATTCTCATCAGTTAATATTTATAAATGAGTATTTCTATGTTTCTATTGATACAAACCAATGAATCATAAGAGAAAATACTATAAAACATTTAGAAGAAAACAAGAGTAGTAACCTCGGATTTGACAAAGGTTTCTTAAGTAAGACAAAAACCATGAACTGTAAATGCCAAAATAAAGCGATCAACAAATTAGATGTAATCAAAATTAAAAACTTTTACCCTCAAAAGACACTGCAATGAAATTAGAAAGATGAGACACACTGGGAGGAAATATTTGCGAAACATGTGTACAACAAAAGATCTGTGCCTAGAGTGTGCGAGGAAAGCATAGGTCCATTTAGAGACTCACTCATGAATGTCCATAGCAGCTTTATTTGCTGTAGCAAAGAGCTGGAAACAACCCAAATACCCATCAACAGATGAACGGATACACAAAATGTGGTCCCTCTATTATAATGGAACACTACTCAGCAATAAAAAGAAGTAGGCTATTGATACCTCTGGCAGCATGAATGAATGTCATAAGTGTGCTGAGCGAAAGGAGACAGACCAATTTTAAAAAGGAGTATATATCCTATGATTTCCATTTACAAGAAAGTCTAGAGAATGCAAGCTAATCTGTGGTGACAGGAAGCCTGCCATTGGCTGTCTGGGGTACCTACACATTCTCTAAGGCTTGATAATGGAAAATGGGTCCTTAGGGAGACAGTTAGATCAAACTCTGGTCTTCGCTGCCAAAGATCCCCCTGGAAAATGGGTTTGTTTGGGGAAGAAGAGTTTTTAACACAGCCATATGTTATTTTTACTGACTTAAGTTTAAAAAAATATTCTCCCGGGTCTTCTTAAATAAAATACCCTTGCAAGGGACAGACGGGTGGACAGAAAGTCACTTGACCTGCAGAGGGCTCTGCTCTTGGGGATTTGCTGCCAGTCGGGATGGCTAGGTCTGATTTATTGTTCTGTGGTAAAGAGATGGGGGTGGGGGGTGGGGGGGGGCTTCTCCCTACAGAGCGCTAGACATTGATTTTACCTCTCTGTTGCCATTGATTTTTATTTGGAGAATAGAAAATTGAAGCATTTGTTGTAAGCCTTCAGAACAAGCCATATTCTCAAATTCTCCAAATACATATAGTGAATAGAGGGAAAGGATGTTGGGATGGGACTTCCAATATCTGAGTGTACACTGGAAAGCCTTCTGGGAACAGCAGGAACTGACCTGTTTTTAAATAAGGAGCCAGAGTCTCCGAGGGCTGGGCCTCTGTAACGGAATGGCTCTTTATCTCCACTTTCTAATTATCTGGAATAACAA